ACACGTGAGAGTTGAATCTGTAGCGATCAGCTGAGTCTTGGTCATGAAAGACCTTGTATACCAAGCCAAGGAACTTGAACTTTAACCCAAAGATAAGAAAAGCTATTGGGCCTAGGATGCAAGGCAGAAACAAGATAGAAAGCTCACTCTGAGGGAGGAGGTAGAGTGACAAGGACCAAGGTTAGAGACATGAACACTCTTAGGAAGCCATTGCAATTGTCCTTGGGAAGAGGTGATGAAGACTTGATTTAAAGCAGCTGCATGTGGATAGAAAGGAGGGAGAGTTTCTAGAGATATAAAGAAAGTAAAAGAGGCAGGACTTAACGGCCCATGGTAAGTGGGGTGAGTGATGTGGAAGGAGAGAGACACCAGGACACGGCCTGGTTACTCTCACCAACCTGAGCATGTCCCTCAGGAGCTGAGCTCTGAACATAGAGGTTGCCTGGCCTCTACATTCAGATGGGCCTGCACACTCTGTAGCCCTCATCACAGGGGAGGCCTCCCTGGCTTTGATCAGGGCCCTCTTCCCAAAATACTCCTTCTCCATCTCCTCCTTTACCTGCTCTTGGTCAACCACCCAGCCCAGGCCTTCAGGGTCCCTTGTCCAGGCCCGATCCTAGTCCACTCCCATCTTGAAGAGACTATGGCCATCACTGCTGCTCACAGCCCCCAAATCCTTTAACATTGTTAAATGTTCTCTTTGGTTCCAAGAGCTTCAGTATACCTACTCTTGGGATCCTCTCCCAGACAAGCTGAATGGGACCCAGTGAAGCAACCAGGCCAGGCAGGCAACAGAAGTCTGAAGTGGAAGTAGAGGCACGAATCCTTGAAAGATGGATGGGTCGGACCATGGATTGGAAGAATTCACACCATGAAAACAACCATACTTCCCAAAGCAATCTACAGGTTCAATGCAATCCCTATCAAAATACCAATATCATTTTCCAGAGAATTTTTAGAAAAAAATTTTTAGAAAAAAAATCCTAAAATTTGTATGAAACAAAAAAAGGCCCAAATAGCCAAAGCAATCCTAAGCAAAAAGAACAAAGCTGGAGGCATCACATTATCTGATTTCAAATTATATTACAAGGCTATAGTAGCCGAAACAGCATGGTACTGGTATAAAAACAGACTCATAGATCAGCGGAACAGGGTAGAGAACTCAGAAATAAAGCCACATATTTACAGCCAATGATTTTTGACAAAGCTGACAAGAACATACATTGGGGAAAGGACACCTCTTTCAATAAATGGTGCTAGGAAAACTGGGTTGCCATATGCAGAAGAATGAAACGACCCCTGCCTCTCATCATATACAAAAATCGATTCAAGATGGATTAAAGACTTAAACGTAAGACCCAAAACTATAAAAACACTAGAAGGAAACCTAGAGAGAACTCTCCTGAACATTCTGAACATTGTCTAGGTAAAGAATTTATGACTAAGACCTCAAAAACACAGGCAACAAAACAAAAAATAGACAAATGGGACTTGAACTAAAAAGCTTCTGCACAGGAAAAGAAATAATCAACAGAATAAACAACTTGTAGAATGGCAGAAAATATTTGCAAACTATTCATTCAACAGGGGACTAATACCTAGCATATACAAAGAACTCGAACAACTCAAAAACAAAAAACAAAACCAGAAACAATCCTATTAAAAAGTGGGCAAGCCAGTCAGAGGTGCTGGGATTTTAGGCATGGTGGCTCATGCCTAAAATCCCAGCACTTTGAGAGGTCAAGGTGGGAGGATTGCTTGAGTCCCAGAGTTCGAGACCAGCCTTGGCAAAATAGTGAGACATTGTCTCTATAAAAAATCAAAAATTAGCTAGGTGTGGTGGTGCATGCCTGTAGTCTCAGCTACTCGGGAGGCTGAGGTGGAGGATGGCTCGAGCCCAGGAAGTCAAGGCTGCCATAAGCCATGATCAAACCACTGCACTCCAGCCTGGGCAACAGAGCAAGACCCTTTCCCCAAAAAAATGGGCAAAGGACCATAAACAGACTTTTTTAAAGAAGACATATAGTCAACAGTTATACGAAAAAATGTTCAACATCACTGATCATAGAGAAATGCAAATTAAAACCACAATGAAATATCATCTCACCCCAATCAGAATGTCTTTTATTAAAAAGGCGATAAACAACAAATGTTGGTGATGATGCAGAAAAAAGGGAACTCTTATATACTGTTAGTGGGGGTGTAAATTAGCACAACATCTGTGGAAAATAGTATGACGATTTCTCACAGAACTAAAAGTAGAACTACCATTCAGTTTAGCAATCCTTCTAATGGGTATCTATCTACCCAGAGAAAAAGAAGCCATTACGTCAAAAAGACACCTGCATTCATATGTTTATCAAAACACTATTCACAACAGCAAAGATATGGAACCAACCTAAGTGTAATGGATGAATGGAAAAAGAGAATTCGCTACATATACACAATGGAATACTATTCAGTCCTAAAAAAAGAATGAAATCATGTCTTTTGCAGCAACATGGTTGGAATTGCAGGTCATTATCTTAAGTAAAAAATGCCAGGCCTAGAAAGTCAAATGTCACATGTTCTCACTCCTAAGTGGGTGTGAAAAAATGTGTACACATGGACATAAAGAGTGGAATAATAGGGGCTAGGCACAGTAGCTCATGCCTATAATCTCAGCACTTTGGGAGGCCAAGGTGGGCAGATTACATGAGGTCAGGAGTTCGAGACCAGCCTGGTCAACATGGTGAAATCCCATCTCTACTAAAAATACAAAAATTAGCCAGGTGCGGTGGCGGGCACCTGTACTCAGGAGGCTGAGGCACGAGAATCACTTGAGCCTGGGAGGCAGAGGTTGCAGTGAGCTGAGATCACACCACTGCACTCCAGCTTGGGCGACAGAGTGAGACTCCATCTCAAAAGAAAGGACTGGAATAATAGACAATGGAGATTCAGAACAATGCAGGGTATGAGGGGGGTGGACAATGAAAAATTACTTAATGGGGACAGTGTACATTATTCAGATGAAGGATACTTTAAAAGCCCTGTTTTGACCACTATGCAATCTATATGTGTAACAGAATCGCATAGGTACCCTGTAAGTTGTACGAATAAAAATAAATAGGCCGGGCGCGGTGGCTCACGCCTGTAATCCCAGCACTTTGGGAGGCCGAGGCGGGCGGATCACAAGGTCAGGAGATCGAGACCATGGTGAAACCCCGTCTCTACTAAAAATACAAAAAATTAGCCGGGCGCGGTTGTGGGCGCCTGTAGTCCCAGCTACTCGGGAGGCTGAGGCAGGAGAATGGCGTGAACCCGGGAGGCGGAGCTTGCAGTGAGCCGAGATCGCGCCACTGCACTCCAGCCTGGGCGACAGAGCGAGACTCCGTCTCAAAAAAAATAAATAAATAAATAAAATAAATAAATAAATAAAATTTTTAATTTGTCTTGCAAAAAATAAAAATAAATTTTAAAAAAAGAAAAATGGATGGGTTGTGGGTCCCTGGCCAGATGATCATAACAACAACCCCTCAGCAAAGCACAGTGAGTGAGCATGACCTGTGGACTCACACTGAGCCGGGTGCAAATTTATCTTCTCTGAGCCTCTGTTTCCCCTTGTCTATGGAATGGTGGTCATAATAGTACCTGCATCATAGCTATTGTTCTAGGGTCTAGATTAGATGATGCATGGCACATGGTAGGCACATCGTGTTTGCCTTAATGTTAAAAAGACAGCAGCTTCTCCCTATTTATGATTTAATAGCTCCATTAGTCACTGACGCCCCTACTTCCAGCAGGGTTCTTCACCACTCTGTCCCCTTGCACGAGTCGCTCTCAAGTTTCATCATCACCTTGACCAGACCAACAGGGGAAGGAAAGTGGCCTGCCTTGATAATTGTGGACATTCCACACCCTTCTGGTGTTTGCTGACCCTGGGGCATTCAGGGTGCCTGAATTAGGTGGAGGAGGATGGTGGGGGGCAACATTGTCGTCCCCTCCTCTCCTTAACAGTCACCAGCCATGCCTCAACCAACAGTTCAGTACTTGCAGGTTTCTTTGGAGCCTTTTCATAAGAATCTACAATCTGAATTCAGGGTTCAGGCTTCTCACACATCACCCTGTCCCTGCAACTGCTGCTTTTGCCACCACATCCACCGTGATCCTGAGACCCCACCCACCTTCCTCCTTTAGAGGCAGTCGTTCCAGATTAGCAGGGGACCGCGCTGTCTTTTTCTGGGCTTCCCGTGTGCTGACTAAGGCAGAGGGCTGCACTGTGCGGATTGAAAGCCATGGTCACTCCCACCCCATCCTTCAACCCCCTAGCAGTGGTGGGTAAAGTGAGTGCACCGTCTCTATCAGCGGCACTTGAATCTTTCGCCACGAGAGGGCACTAGAGAGCAAAGTGACAGCTGAAGCGCCGAGTGGTCATTCCTCTCCCGCGACAAAGCAGCACCCCTGGGGCGGGAGGGGTGTGTGTTAGTAGTCACAGCTAGAGGGCCAAAGCACGGTGACCACCATCTGCAACCAAAGCTGCAGAAAATAAGTGTCCCAAGGATCTTCCCAATCAAGCCAGAGGTGCACAGCCCTAGATCCAGCTAGGGTTGCCACGTAAAACACAGGACACCCAGTTAAGTTTAAATTCTGGATAAACGTCAAATAGTTTTAATATAAATATGTTCCCATGCAATATTTTGGACATGCTTAAAATTATTTGTTGTATAACCAAAGTTCAAATTAAACCGGGGCATCCTGTTTTTGTTGTTTGTTATGTATTTGTTTTGTTAAATCTGGCCACCCTAGACCCAAACTCGGCCAGGTGTGGTGGACAAAAAATGCACTGGTGCCCCCCCCCAATACCTGCCCTGAGGCCACCAGAAATGGAGGTAAGCCTCTGGTGCTGGACTTTCTGGAGTCCACTTGAACTACAGCCCAGGTGGACAGGTGAGGTGAGGGAACATGGAGGTGCTCTGGCTCTGACACGGCACCTGCAGACACACTGAGAGCTGAGAGCCACATTCACGTTCAACCATCCTTTATTTGCTGGCTTGTCTTCCCAAGCCTGGGTCAGGAACCAAACCACATTCCCAACCTGCTGTGTGTGGTTCCGTCCATCCTAGAAGTCACAGCCATCCACCCAGTCAGTGAGGTCTTTGCCCTGGCAGTGATGCCTCCAGGCCTCCCTGAGGATGGAGAACAAGGAAGAGGAGAGATCACATCAGCTGCAGTTGCCAGTCACTGCCCAGAGAAGAACAGGAAGGAGAGTGTGGGCTCTAAACCAGAAGTGAGGAAGGAAAGGGGTTTGTTCCCTGCTGCCGCCCACCTGTTCTAACCAGACCACTGCGGCAGGGCTGCCGCCCAAGTTACTTACCAGTAACCCAGACCCTGAGGCTCTTGGGTGATCTTCATGGCACAGATAACGGTATCCTTGAGATTAGGATTCAACAAATCTGGGTGATAGGCAGAGAAACACAATGAGGGAGCAGGAGACATCCAGAGTGTGTGTGTGTGTGTGTGTGTGTGTATGTGTGTGTGTATCTGTCTCTCTCTATATGTATATACATACACACACACACACTCCACTCCCCTAAATCCAGGCCTGTCTCAACCACTCTGGAAGCACAGGTTCCACCCTATCCTTCTCCCGCTCCATCAGAAACAATCCTCCCTCCATTCCTATAGCTCTAAGGCAGTCTCCTGTCTGGGACCCCAGTTCAGACTGATGGAAGACCTACCCTCATCCCTTGTCCCATCTCCCTCTCCTCCGTGGGCCCAGCCAGATGTGGGGGAACCCTCACTCAGAGATGCAGGTAGCAAACTAAACTGGGAAGGAAACAAAAGCTAATGCAGGGCCTGACTCCTGCCAGCCCTGGGCCCAGGCCCAGCTACCTGAGCAGTACATCCCGCACATGTTGGGGGCGTTGGGAGTGAGGTTTCTGCACCACCTCCGGCTGCTGATCTGGAAGATCCCGTTGTTGGTGCTCCCGTCAGCCTCGTGGTCCACAGCAGCTGTGTTGAAACCGCTTGTGAAATAAGCAAGGCAGACCCCTGCATAGGGCAGAGCACAGGCCTGGAGGTCAGACAGTTACGGCTACCCCAGGCCAGGGTACTCACTGCACAGGTCCCACGCTGGTTCCACCCAGCCTCGCCTGCCTGATCAAGGTGATTGGGGAAGGTGCCTTCCCACCTGCTTTGCAAATGAATTAATCAATCGAGGCTTAGAGGTGCACAGTGACTCACACAGGCTCCCATCAGCTACCAAATAGCAGTGGTCGGGGCTGACCTCAGGCCTCTTGACTTTTAGCCCAGCAATCTTCCCACTTTCTCATTGTTCAGCATGTAGTAGGGCCCAGTAAATTTGTTGAATTAATCTACAAGTGCTAACTCTTTTTTTTTTTTTTTTTTTTTTTTTGAGACGGAGTCTCACTCTGTTGCCCAGGCTGCAGTGTAGTGGCATGATCTCAGCTCACTGCAACTTCTGCCTCCTGAGTTCAAGGAATTCTCCTGTCTCAGTGTCCCAAGTAGCTGGGATTATAGATACCTGCCACCATGCCCAGCTAATTTTTGTATTTTTAGTAGAGGCGGGGTTTCGCCATGTCGGCCTGGTTGATCTCGAACTCCTGACCTCAGGTGATCCACCTGCCTCAGCTACCCAAAGTGCTGGGATTACAGGCCTGAGCCACCGCGCCCAGCCTACAAGCGCTAAATCTTTAGTGACAAGATTAGGAAGACCCAGGTGGAATCTATAGAGGGCGCTGGACCTGTTGGAAAGATGAGCCCCGGTGTGACTTCCCTTCCCGCGTGGCCATCTAAAACTGCCACCAGCTGGAAAAGTTTGGCATGACTGCTCTGTTGTTTGTCTTTTCTAATTTCAGAAGGAATGTCTAATGCTAGTGGCCACGGTTAAGTTTAGGGGACTGAGCTGCTTGTTTCCTTTGACCCTGACTTTAGCAGCAGGGGAAAAGGAAGGAGTGAGTCCGATTTGGTTGCCTGCTGCCTGCCTACTGCATGTTTAACTCAGTGCCGGCTTTTCTCTACCTGCCATCTCAAATCTTCTTCGGTTTACAGAAGGGCTCTAAAAGCTCCCGAAGCCACAGCCCTTGAATGAGAAGGAAAGAGGGAGGGAAGGAGGGAGAGAGGTGTGGGGAAGCCGGGGCCAGCCAGGGAGAAGGGTTCTCACAGTCAGCCAGGCTGTATCCCCGGTATCCGTCCAGCCCGAAGTCCTGTAGCACTCTGGCCAGTTCACAGCGACTGTAGACCTTGGCCTCACTGGAGGGTAGCAGGCAGCTGAGCAGAGAGACCAGGGCCAACAACATGATCGCAGCTGGGCACCACCGCCTTCCGAGAGCCCTGCTCCTGGCTTCTGTGCCGGTGGTAGAGGTGGAGCCACCACTCTGGCTCAGAGCTGAGCTTTGGGATGACCCACAGCTCACCAGCCTCGGCGGTCCACTCACAGAAGGAGAAGAAACGGGGCTTGAGTGTACCCCTGGGAAAGGGGAGAGGAGAGAAGGGGTGGGCAGAAGGCCAGGCTCCGGCAGCAGGAATCAGCCCCCTTGCATCCCTGATCAGCATCAGCCCTGCCCCCGAGGCCAGCCCTTCTCCTTCCCCATCCTGCTTCAAACCACCCTAGTCCGAACTGGGAAGAAAACTGACCTATTGTGAGCTCCATATTACACGATACACATTATTTAGTCCTGAGGCGCAAGAGTTTACAATAGGAAGGGGAAAAGTTTGGATGGAGACAAAGTTCTATAAATCCAAAGCCCCGCTGAGCAGATGCTCCCGGAGAGGATGGCCAGGCGGTGTCATACCATGTTCACGGGCCCCTCAGCCCAGTTGTCAAGGGACAGCCCTTCTGGCACTGACCCTCCATCTCCAGATCTTAACTGAAACAAGGTCTCCCCCAGAACACTGCTCCCCTATAGCCCGGGCAAGGGGAAGCTGTTCTTTCTCCACACACAAGGCCCCAAGATGTCCCGAGAGTCTCCTCCACCCCCACCACCCCTTCTAAACCACAACCTGCAAAAAGCCCTTCTCCCTGGAAGGCCAGCCTGCCTGTCTGGTTTGACCTCCGTGCCCTCTCATCGCTGGCGGTGTGTGGCCAGTCCCCCAAATCATGGAGGACATTAGCATCTGGGTGTCACAGCCTCAGGGCTCCTTCATCTCCCCAGACCTAGTCCCCTCTGGCTCCACTGTGTCTCAACCAGTCCCTCCCCTGCCCTGTCATCCCTGCTTCTCGTCCTCACCCGCATTTCCCACCTCTGTGAGCTCCTATCCCACTGCCCACCACCTCTGACAAGCATTCCCATGCCTCTCTTGAGCTCTGCACCTCCACACCTGCTCTCCGCCTTCACAGAGTCAAAAAGTGAAAGAGTTGCACAAACTCTTGTTTGTGCCAATGGGTGTCCCTGGTCTCCAACCTCCACGGGACTTTGAATGCCACCGAGGATGACAGTGGTTGAGGGCGTGGCTTTGCAGCAAGGCTGGGGTTGGAAGCCCCCCTCTGCTTCTTGCTCCATCTCTGACTTTGGGCCCTCCCTGGGCCTTGTTTCCTCCTCTATAAAATGAGGACGTGAGTAACACCTGCCTCATACGATTGTTGGAAGAATAAATGAGAAAAGGCGTGGGCACAGCTTAGCTCTTGGCACTAAAAATAAGTGAATTGTTGTTTCTGTTATGAACTACAACTAGCACTGGTACACGCGCTTGTCTCTGCTCAGATTTCTCTCTCCCGTTTCCCTCACAGGAAATGAAAATCCTCGGTATAGTCCTTGAGCACACCATACTGTCCCACCCCTTGGCTCCCAGAACATGATCTTGTCTCCCGATGCACTAAGAAAAGCAAGGTGCTCACTTGTGGAATTTCTTCCTCTTTCTGCCTTAGCCTCACTTACTTGCAAACTCATCAGTAGCCTCCTCGCCCTCATCTGCACCCCATCATTGTTTGGGTGCGGGGCTTCCACCCCCACGCAAGCCCACCTTCCTTCCCTCCAAGCTCTAGATTTGTCCTTCCCGTCTCCAAGTCTTGCTCCATTCATTGTCCCTCCTCTCCCAGTGCGCCAGCACCGTTCCCCTCCTGCCTCCTTCCCCTGCTCCTAGAGACTTGCTCAGTCTCCAGCTTCTAAATGCTTTCCCTCAAGTCTCATGCTGACTGGTACTCCCCTGTCTTTCCCCCTCCTCTCACCCAAACTCCTGGGGAAAATTACCACTTTCTCCCCTCGCATTTGTTTTCCAACCTGGTGAATTGCCCTCCCCGCCACCACCACACGCTGAAACTCCTCTGCAGGTCCTAGGAGGCCCCGTCGGTTCTGTCTTATGGGAGCTCTCAGCCGCACTCATGCTGTCCACCACCCCCTGTTGAAAGGCTTGCCTCTCCTGGTTTCCACGATGCTCCCCTCTCCCAGGTTTCCTCCTCCCTCTCTGGCTGACTCTCCTCTTTATCCTCTGTGGAATCCACTTCTGCCCAGGCCATAACCACTGATATGTGTTCCAGGCCTTCCTGCCTTAAGCCCTCTTCTCTTCCACTTTGAGGAAACCCTCTGGGCAGCCCTGCTGTCAGCCATCGCCTGCAGGCTGGCGACCCCTGTGGCATCTTCCCCAAGACCTCACAGGCAACTACTGGCTGGACACGTCCACTTGAATTCCTGCAGGCACCTCAAACTCAGCACATCTGAACAGAACCACTGTTCCCATCACTGCCTGCTTCTGCCTTACAACTTCCCTTATGTGCTTTAAAACATGACGGGCCACCCACTTACCCAAACCAGAAATATGGATGTCATTCTTCACTCCTTCCCCATGACATCTTTCACCCAGTCCCAGCCAACCAGTCCCAATGTCCTGTGGATTCCACCTTCCCTGTCAGAGCACCGTCCTTTCCTAGGATCACACTGGGTTCCTTCATGGTCTTCTTGTACCATGTCTTGACGACTCTTCCAAGCTATTCTATACATGTCCATTAGAACAAATTTGTTACATGAAAAGCCCAACCCTGTGACACCTTGGATGACTCCCACTGTTACTGCCCCTTCGAGGTCCACGCGGCCCTTCACGACCCTTCACGGCCCAGCCCTGCGGCCCACTCCCTCACTCATACATTATGTTCCAGCAATTGTTCTCTCACAATGACCTTGCTGTCTAGAACATTCACCTTCTCCTTTCCTCTACACGGTTAACTCTGACTCATACTTGAAGGGTCTCATCAGAGGGGGGTTCCCCAGTGAGAGTCTCCTGGCAGGCCACCGCCCCCCACACTCTCACACGCCCCATCTTCCACCTCCTCTGTCACACCAGGCTGGAATAGATGTCAGTCTTTCCCACCACGAAGTTAACTTCTGAAGAACGGCAGCCAGTTTTATTTATCTGCAGAGTTGCTGGCATGGAGTAGCCACTCAGGGGCTGCTTCTGAAATTCAAGTCCACAGAAGGCGTGGCCACAGGGACATAAGTCCTTCTCCTCACCGCGAGGGGAGTGACCAACCTGGTGGAGTTTGTCAAGTCTTTGAGCACCGTGCCAGGCCTTTCCCAGAGCTTTTCTAACTTAATCTCATCCAATCCTCTCAACAATTGAAAGGAGTGGGATTAATATCCCTAAGTTGTAAAGGAGGAAACCAAATTGTCTGCTACACAGGGACTGTTTTTGTAGAAAAGTGACTTAAAAGCAATTCCATCCTGACCATTTCACAGCAGCTCCAGAGTTTCTCTCTCTCTCTCTCTCTCTCTCTCTCTCTCTCTCTCTCTCTCTCTTCTCTCTCTCTGTCTCTCTCTCTCTCAGCTGATCAGTCTTCCAGGCCAGGACACCCCCATCCTAACCACCACCTTGTTTTACTCCACCTCTCTCTGGCCAGACCAAACCAGGGCCCTGTTAACAGCCCCAGGAAGAAGGGAAAGGGGGCTCACTGATCAGGAGTGCTCCCCACAGAGCTGAGATCATGGTGACAATGGCAGCAGCAGCAGTGGCCCAAAACCCTGCTGCAGCTCAGGATGCCCCCCACAACCTCGCCAGGGCCCCAGGCACCCAGTGTTAAGAGAACGATGGGGAAGGCAGGCTCCAGGTCAACCGAGGGCCTTCTAGAACTCCAGCTCTGTGAGCTCATCTTCCACAAACAGCTCCGCCTGGAGCTTTGACTAGCCCACCTGAGCCCTTCAACTCAGGGCCCAGGTGCAGAGCAGGGGTATCTAATCCCAGCCCCCTTGCACCTCTCTACCCCATCCCCCCCAAACACACACACACACACACACACTACATTGAAGGATGACACTTCCTCTCCCAACAGATCTTTCAGATGATTTCCCAGGGACAGTGGGGGACACCAGGGATGGTGATGCATGTGCAGGGATGGTGGTGGGTGTCTGGAGATAGTGGTGAACATGCAGGGATGGTGGTGGGTGACCAGGGACAGTGGTAGGTGCCCAGGGATGGTAGCAGGTGTGCAAGGACAGTGGTCGGTGTGCAAGGACAGTAGTAGGTGCCAAGAGATCGTGGGGTGTGTAGGGATAGTAGTGGGTGCACATGGGCAATGGTGGGTGCACATGGGCAATGGTGGGTGCCCAGGGATGGTGACGGATGTGCAGGGATGGTGGGTGTTCAGGGACAGTGGTGGATGTGTAGGGATGGTGGTGAATGTGCAGGGATGGTGATGGATGTGCCGGGATGGTGTTGGTGGGTGCCCAGGGATGGTGGTAGATGTTCAGGGATGGCAGTGGGTGCCCAGAGACAGAGGTGAGTGTGCAAGGATGGTGGTCCCAGTGTGCAGGAACGGTGTTAAGTGCCCAAGGATAGTAGTAGATTCCCAGAGATGGTGGTGTGTGCCCAAGGATCGTGGTGGATGTGGAGGGATGGTGGTGCGTGTCCAGGGATAGTGGTGGGTACCTAGGGATGGTGGTGGTTGCCCACTGCTTTTCCAGGCTGCCCATCTCACCATGGAGCTCCTTTGAGTGCCAGAAAGTTCTTCCTTAATGCTGAGTTACAAACCACTCCCTTCTCCACCTGGATAATGGCCATTCAGTGTGGACAAGTGCAGGGCAAAGGTTACACTACTGACCCTAAAACTTAAAGGGCAGAGAAGTGGAAAGAAAGGGCATGAGGTGCCTATGTCTGTGCCTCACAGGGGCCCAGGCTTGGAGGCCGTGCAGCACAGGAGCTAGAGCACAGGCTTTGGGGTCAGGCTGACCAGGGCTGAACACAGGCGCTAGTGACTTCCAGCTGGAGGACCTAAAGAAAGTGGACTCACTCTCTGTTTCCTTGATTCTCAAGTGGGGATGACAATACCAACTTCACAGGGTACTAGGAAGGCTCAATGAAACAGCAATAAAATGCTTAGTACCCCAGGTGCTCAATAAATAATAGTAATTACTACTAAGTGCAGAGCACAACCATGAATGTGTCTAGTTGCACCATGTCCACCCTATCTGCCTGGGCCCCACCCCAGGACAACCAAGTTAAAATTGAGGGTTGCCCCAGCATCAGCACCAGTGTTTTTCTTTTTTTTTTTCCCCTCTTTTTTTTTTTTTTTTTTTTTTACTGAGGTAAGAACACTTAGCAGGAGACCTGCCCTCTTAACATATATTTAATGTGCAATCCATTATTGTTGACTGTGCAGGACACTGCTGTACAGCAGATCTCTTGAGCTCATTCGTCTTGCCTGACCGGTTTTTTTTTTCTTTTTTTTGAGATGGAGTCCCACTCTTTTGCCAAGGCTGGAGTGAAGTGGCATGATCTCGGCTCACTGCAACCTCTGCCCCCTGAGTTCAAGCGATTCTCCTGCCTCAGCCTCTCGAATAGCTGGGATTACAGATGCATGCCACCACACCGGCTAATTTTTGTATTTTTAGTAGAGACAGGGTTTCACCATGTTGGCCAGGCTGGTCTCGAACTCCTGACCTCAGGTGATCCACCCTCCTCGGCCTCCTAAAGTGCTGGGATTACAGGTGTGAGCCACTGCACCCAGCCACCTGACTGGATCATTACGCTCATTGATTAGTAACTCCCTGTTTTCTCCTCCTGCCAGCCCCTGGTGACCACCATTCCTCTCTTTGATTCTATGAGTTTGACTATTCTAGGTACCTGATAAAAGGAGAATTATTTCCTTTTCTGGAACTGGCATATTTCACTTTGCATATTGTCCTCAAAGCCCATCCATATTGTTGCATATGTCAGAATTTTCTTCTTTTTTACCCATGATTATTATTCCACTTTGTGTGTATATCACATTTTCTTTATCCATTAATCTATGTGTGTTAGTTTATTTTGCATTGCTATAAAGGAACATCTGAGGCTGGGGAACTTATAAAGAAAAGAAGTTTATTTGGCTCACAGTTCTGCAGGCTGTAAAGGAAATATGGTACCAGCATCTGCTGGGCTTCTGGGGAGGCCTCAAGAAGGTTTTACTCATGATGGAAGGTGAAGGGGGAGCAAGCATGTCCCATGGCAGAAGAGGGAGCAAGAGAGAGGGGAGGAGATGCCAGGTTCTTTTAAACAACCAGCTCTTGCATGAACTAATAGAATGAGAGCTCACTCATTACCACGAGGCCTGCACCAAGCCATTTATAAGGGATCCACCACCATGACCCAAACACCTCCTAACAGGACCCACCTCCAACACTGGAGATCACAACTCAACATGAGATTTGGAGGAGACACATATCCAAACCGTATCACTGTGGATGGACACACGTTTCCACCTCTTGGCTTTTGTGAACAATGCTGCAGTGAACATGTGATATTGTTTGGCTCTGTGTCCCCACTGAAATCTCAACTTGAATTGCAATCCCCATGTGTCAAGGGAGGAAGCTGTAATTCCCACATGTCAAGTGAGGGAGGAAGATTGGATCATGGAAGGTTTTCCCCCATGCTGGTCTCATGATAATGAATGAGTTCTCATGAGATCTAATGGTTTTCTAAGCATCTGACATTTCCACTGCTTGCACTTCTCTCACCTGCCACCGTGTAAAATGTGCCTGCTTCCCCTTCTGCCATGATTGTAAGTTTCCTGTGCCACCCCCACCAGCCTTGTGGAACTGTGAGTTAATTAAACCTCTTTCCTTTATAAATTACCCAGTATCAGGTATTTCTTTATAGCAGTGTGAAAATGGACTAATACAGTAAATTGGTACCAATGTAGTGGGGCACTGCTATAAAGATAACTTGAAAATGTGGAAGCAGATTTGGAACTGAGTAACAGGCAGAGGTTGGAACAGGTTGAAGGGCTCAGAAGAAGACAGGAAGATGTGGGAAAGTTTGGAACTTCCTAAAGATTTGTTGAATGGTTTTGGCCACATTGCTGATAGTGATATGGACAATGAAGCCCAGGCTCAGGTGGTCACAGATAGAGATGAGGAACTTATTGGGAACTGGAGCAAAGGTCACTCTTGCTATGCTTTAGCAAAGAGACTGGTGGCATTTTGACCTACCCTGGAGATCTGTGGAACTTTGAACTTGAGAGAGATGACTTAGGGTGTCTGGCAGAAGAAATTTTTTAAGCAGCCAAGCATTCAAGATGTGACCTGGGTGCTCTTAAAAGCATTTAGTTATACGCATTCACAAAGAGATGGTTTAGAATTGGAACTTATGTTTAAAAGGGAAGCAGAGCATAAAGTTTGGAAAATTTGCAGCCTGACCATGGGGTAGGAAAGAAAAACTCACTTTCTGGGGAAGAATTCAAATGGGCTACAGAAATTTGCATAAGTAACCAGGAACCAAATGTTAGTAGCCAAGACAATGGGAAAAATGTCTCCAAGGCATGTTAGAGATCTTCAAGCCAGCTCCTCCCATCATAGGCCTGGAGTCCTAGGAGGAAAAAATAATTTTATGGGCCAGGCCCAGGGCCCTGCTGCTTTGTGCAGCCTTGGCACTTGGTGCCCTGCATCCCAGCCACTCCAACTCCAGCCAGAGCTAAAAGGGGCCATGGATTCAGAGGGTGCAAACTCCAAGCCTTGGTGGCTTCCACATGGTGTTGGGCCTGCAGGTGCACAGAAGTTAAGAATTGAGGTTTGGGAACCTCCACTACATTTCAGAGGATGTATGAAAACACCTGGATGTGCAAGCAGAAGCCTGTTGCAGGGGCAGAGCCCTCATGGAGAACCTCTACTAGGGCAGTGCAGAAGGGAAATGTGGGGTTAGAGCCCCCACACAGAGTCCCCACTGGGGCACTGTCTAGTGGAGCTGTGAGAAGAGGGTCACCTTTCTCCAGACCCCAGAATGGTAGATCCACCGACAGCTTGCACTGTGCAACTAGAAAAGCCACAGACCCTCAATGCCAGCCAGTGAAAGCAGCCAGGAGGGAGCCTGTACCCTGCAAAACCACAGGGGCAGAGCTGCCCGAGACCGTGGGAACCCACCTCTTGCATCAGCATGACCTTGATGTAACACATAAAGTCAAAGGAGATTTTGGAGCTTTGAGATTTAATGACTGCCCAGACGGGTTTTGGACTTGCATAGGGCCTATAGCCCATTTGTTTTGGCCAATTTCTCCCATTTGGAATGGAAACTTTTACCCAATGCCTGTACCCCCATTGTATTTACTGTTTTAGCCCATTTTCACACTGCTATAAAGAAATACCTGAGACTGGGTAATCTATAAAGGAACAAGGTTTAATTAACTCACAGTTCTGCATAGCTGTGTAGGCCTCAGGAAACTTACCATCATGGTGAATTGGGAAGTTGGCAAATCTTATATGGCAGCAGGCAAGAGAAGTGCAAGCAGGGGAAATGCCAGATGCTTAGAAAACCATTAGATCTCATGAGAACTCTGGCTGGGCATGGTGGCTCATGCTTGTAATCCCAGCACTTTGGGAGGCCAAGGCAGGTGGATCACTTGGGACCAGGAGCTTGAGACCAGCCTGGGCAACATGGCAAAACCCCGTCTCTACTAAAAACACGAAAAAATTAAGTGTGGTGGCGTGCACCTCTAATCCCAGCTACTCAGTAGGCTGAGGCAGGAGAATCTCTTGAACTGGGGAGGCAGAGGTTGCAGAAAGCTAAGATCGTGCCACTGCACTC